CCTTGCTTCCGTGCCGCGTGTGTACAGCTGCGGACTTGTTGACTCTCTTTGCAACATGAATCAAAAGGGGTGTGCATTTCTCATCTAACATCATTCGGGTTACATTTACGTTGCATTACTCCATCATCTCGGCCTGTTTTCAACTTTGCAGGTGCATGTACCCGCGACGAAGCGCGATGCAAAGAAAATGACGCGCCAAGCCATCATCCCAGATGCGGCCATTGCGCTTCCCGTGCGCAAGTGCGGACCAACGTCAACCCAGCTCTTTTACCTGCAAGCCGCCCTCACCCAGATCTGTACGTCGCGTGAACATGCAGCACAGCACGTGTGCGTACGTGTATGTGCACGTGTGTGCGTACGTGTGTACGTGGGTTCGTGTGCGTGTGTGTGTGTGTGTGGACGACCAACAACAACAACAACAACAACAACAACAACAACTTAAACAACAACAACAACTTAAACAACAACAACAACTTAAACAACAACAACAACTTAAACAACAACAACAACTTAAACAACAACAACAACTTAAACAACAACAACAACATTGCGTTGCATTCCCTGCCTGTCGTTGTGCATCATTGGCGAGATCATCCTGAAGACGATTCCGATGCTTTCTTGACCGTCAACTTCATCCGACCACATGCACACACGCACCCTCCCGTTACCCACCAACCCTGTTCCTTGCAGTGCATTTTGAGAGTGGGGGGCTCCTGAAGGCCAAAGACCTGTCGCCACAGCAGACGGACGCCCTCAAGTCACTGATGGCGCAGATGCTCGACTTTCACGACATGCTCAACTTCCACCGCACGCTGGAGCAGGTCCGAACACACACACACACAAACTCATGTGTGCGTGTCGTACTTTCTTGTGTTTTGTGTTGCGCGCTGTGATTCATGTATTGGGTGTTACGTGCATGTGGTGCGTGTTGCAACCTGCGCATGTGCTTATACCCCTCTCTCATCACACTGCTTTGTCGCGTTTTTGTCGGCAGTGCACGGACCTGTCGTCCCTCTGGTACAAGGAATTCCACCTTGAGCTTGCCAAGGAAATTCAGGTGCGCATTCACGTGATGACTGTGCGATTTGGTTGCAACAACTTGCGTGAACATAAGCGCGGGCGAGCTCTGAACCTGTCGCATTCCACATTCGCCAAACAACACAACGCCTAAACGCAGCGTACCCTAAACGCAGCGTACCTCCCTGCACACACACACACACACACACACACATACGTACATACACGTACACTCACCGCGCACGCACACGCACAATACCGCACACACATGCACATGCACGCACATCTTAGTTTCCTGTGGAGTTTTCTCTTCCGTGGATCCTGACAACGACCGGCATGACCGAGCGCGGACTGCACGAGCACACGCTCATTCCACTTGAGCTGTACAACGCAGCAGCGCAGCACGCCCTCTTCAAGCTCAAGTCGCAGACGCTTTACAACGAGATTGAGGCGGAAGTCAACCTGTGCTTCGATCAACTCAGTACGTGCAGCGGCACTGCAGCTTTAATAACAGGCGCCATGTCTGCTTGGCTCCACGTGGCATGCGCGTGTTTTCATGCATGTGTGGTTCTATGCGTGTGCGTGTGCATGTACGTGTGTGTCTGCATGTGTGCAGTACATCTCGTTTGTCACTCACGCATTTCTCCCATCTGTTGCCGTTGCAGTGTTCCACATTGGCGAGCAGGTGTTTGTCAACTTCAAGGCCAAGGCCACGAGCATCATGCTCGCTCGCGAGGCCAAAGAGTCCTCGGTGTTGCAGGTACGGCGAAGGGTGGACACCTGGGCATGCAGCAGCGTGTTGCTGCTCGCAACAATGCGTCAACACCGACAGAAATGCGTTTTCTGCACCCACATACGAAGAGGTGTGGGATATGTTCATTGCGCAATCCTCACCATGCGTTGCCATGCTGCCAACACACGGCCAACGTGACAACATGACTTGTGTGCAGAGCCACGCGTCGTCGCTGGATGCATACGAGACGAGCTTCCACGGTCTCCTCAACCAGCGCCACGTGCGGCTGCTCGGCCGCTCCATCGACGTCAACAACCTCATCGAGCAGGTGTGTGTATGTGCGTGTGTTTCTGTACGCAAGCAACCGTCAGCCGCTGCTACTGTCTCTTTCGTGGCAGTCATTTGTTTTCTCCACACCCACTCGCACAAGCCCCCCCGTGCCTTCCTTCTGCACAATTTCCTTCACGTGTCAGCGACTCACAAACGCGCGCGCGCGCGCGCGTGTGTGTGTGTGCATTGCCTCTGAAGGGACTGGATGCGCTGATGAAGCGATCGATTGGAATGGCAATCCAGGTGTTTGAGGCCGAGGACATCCGCTCCATCGTCGCATTTGAGCGCGCCCTTGAAATCGAGCGCCTCGCACACAAGTCAGTGCACTGGTGTTCGTGTGGATGGCTTGTTGTCGTGGTTGCATGTGAATTGTGATAACAGAGATTGTATTTATGTCCCGTATCACCGCCGCCCACCAACCTGTTTTCAAACGCACATGCACACGCACACGTGGTCGCTTGCTCACATGTGTCGTCCATCCACAAATGCTCTTGTGTGGTTCATGCCAGGTTCATGTCGGAGCACTTTTCGCTGACGCCCTTTGAAGACATGCTGGAAGGTGCGGCAGCCTATGATGGCGTGGGCTGTTGGTGCCCGTACGCCGTAGCGCCTATCGATATCTGTCGCTGCCAGTTGGACACACAGAACTCGTGGTCACACAAGCTCACAACGTACACACACGCACACACGCACACGCACACACGCACACACGCACACACACACGCACACACACACACACACATACACACACACATACACACACGCACACACACACACACACACGCACACATGTACACTATGTTTCCCAGAACAAAACGGGTCTGTGAACCCGGCATCGAACCACGGTCGCATTGAGCACAAGATCATCTTTGAGCTCCTGTCTGATCTCACTGCAAACTTTGCATTCGACTCAGCAACGAATGGTGTGTGCTTTTGCACTTGTTTCTGCTTGCTGTGCACATTGTGTGTGCGCGCGCGCGTGTGTGCGTGTGTGTGTGTGTTTGCGCTGGACGTCTGCTGTCCGCAATTCACAATGACGTCTCATCATCAACACCTCGGTTTTTTTTTACTTCAAACAACAGAGTTCTTCCGACCAGCCCTCGTGTTTGCTGATCAGCAAGAACGTGACCCAGCAACAAAGGTTTGTAGATTGCCCTTTGTTGTTGCTTGCAGGCACCACAAGAACACTCATCACACACACACACACACACACACACACAAACTGTCGCTCTCACTCTCTCACACAAACACACGCTTACTTCTATGTGTGCTGCTTTGTAGATTTCGAACGTGCACATGTTCGGCAGCAAGGCGCTCGCCCACGCCATGCAGGTGAGACATGTAAATAGTCCATGTGCACATGTACTGCGGCTGCTGCTGCATCACCTGAAGCTGTGCGTGTCGTTTTTATGCGCCATCCCTGTTGCGCACCTACTCACAACAACGCTCCAACCAAACACACACACACACACACACACACATGCACATGGTGTGACAGACGCTGCTTGACACGACCAAGCGCACCTTTAGAGTGGAGCATGCCGCTGCCGTCGTTCGCCTTGGTGAGCGCTTATTCCTAGCACTCATTCTGCTGCACATGCGCGCTTTGTGCGATGTATGCGCTTCGTGTGAGTCTTGAATCATCTTATGTCTTTGTATGTCTCCTTTGCCTTGCCATCGGTACCCTTGTCCACAACTTCTCCACCATTCATGTTCGTGGTCCTTTGCAGTGAAACCGCACAACATGGGCGCCCTCATCAACGAGCTGAGTCAGACAGTCGGACTTGCGCTCCACACCGTCGTGCGCCCGTTTGTTGCCGAACTCGTCAAGGTCCGCACATGTTTGTGAATGAATGACGGTCGTTCTTTTTGTGAACCACCCAGGCGCTCTTTGGCGAAGGCCTCCACGTACGTCTGTGTGTGTGTGTGTGTGTGTGTGTGTGTGTGTGTGTGTGTGTGTGTGTGTGTGTGTGTGTGTGTGTGTGTGTGTGCGTGCGTATGTATCTGTTTTCCGCTGCTTGTTCTCATGACACAACATTTACATATGCACAACACATACACACTATCTCACTCATACACTACGCAACGCAGTGGGGTGGGCTGATGCTGGTGTATCTTCTTGGACAGCGCCAGGCCTTTGACGCCTTCCACTATCTTCAGTCGTGGCTGAACATTGTGGAAACAGGCGTCGTGGCCACGACAACATCTGGCAACGTAAGTCCTCACCTGGGCTGTTGGTTGTCCACTGACGGCAGCAGTGTGCACGCAATCACTTCTCTGTGCGTGTGTGTCGCTCTCTATTGCCTAGATCACAGTGCTGTTGTCGTGGTGTTGTTCCCCTTGTGCACTCGTCTGTTTCATCTGCCTTCCACGTTGTCTGTACAAGTGTACATCACCCCTCTTGTCGACTCCCACTTTCGTTCATTCCACCCCCTCACATCACGTCACATTGCTGCAACATCAACTGCGCACAGGCTGCCAGTGTGGGCCCAATTGACTTGGACGAGTTTGCGAGTCTTGCGAAGAAGCAGTGCCGCCTCAACACCAAGATCATCGATTTGTTCCGCGCGCACTACCCGCTCCCCGACGACCGCTCCAACGGTCGTGCAGGATTTTGCCGCCCGCCGCGTGACCGCAGGGACCAAGGTGCGTGCGTTGTGTAGGTGTGTGTGTGTGGATGTGTACGTGTATGTGTATGGATGCATATGTGTATATGTGTATGGATGCATATGTATGTGTGTGCGTGTGCGTGTGCGTGTATGTGTGTGTATGTGTGTGTGTGTGTGTATGTGTGCATGTGTGTATGTGTGTTGTGTGGCTTGGCATTGCTCGTTTCGTTGTTGCCCCATGTTTTTTTTTCTTTGGTGCAATGCATGCCCGCCTGTGTTTGTTTTCTCACCGCTCACAAATGCCGGGTACCTCCGCTGGGAAACCACAGGTTCTTACGTGCCGTGCCCACGCGAACTGTCACAGCCAAACGCCGACACTGAGACATCCGTCTGATCGCGTTTCAAGTTGAACAGGCGTGCTCGCTCTGCATTCCGTCCATGCCGTTCACCCATTTGTTGTTGTGTTGTTCATCTCCTTGCCGTGGTCGGCTGTCATTGTTGTTGATGTTGTGGCACTTTCTGTACTGTGCACCCCACTCATCCCCTCGTTTCGTGTATGTTCTTGCCCTCCCCCCACCTCGTACAAGAGAGCACTCCCTTCTTTCCCAGTGCTGTGGAAGTTTTACGTTGCGCCGCTGTTCGTGCGGTCTTTCAGTAGAGCCAAGTCAACCCTTCGCACGCGCGTCTGGGGCGAACCGAGCGCAGGAATGCAATGCCACGAGAAAGGGAAGGGCAGGGCTTTAAGCAAGCAGATTAGTTGAACTTGTAGGAAAAAGCACGAACACCCACGACTGTACACACACACACACACACACACACACACACCACACACACACACACACACACACACACACACACACACACACACACACACGCATGTAAAGAACGAAAGGAAGCGAAAATATTCACATCAATGCATACACGTGTACAGAGCGCGGAAGCAACGAGCACCACGTCTCCGCCTGTACTCTAGCACGCGCCTGGCATGTCAACGAGCGTCCCCGTCTTGTGTGTGTGTGTGTGTGTGTGTGTGTGTGTGTGTGTGTGTGTGTGTGTGTGTGTGTGTGTGCACGTTCGGTGAGTGGTGTGCGAAGCAGCAACTAACCAGGAGCCAGCAGCATGCAGCATACAGCTTCAACACACAACACCGCCGCCTTCACCACAGCCTCACGAATCAGGAGACTGGCGGCAACTCACCCAGAGTTGGACGAGCATGGGCAGATTCAAGATGGATTTGGATGCGATGACGTCGTCAACGATCTTCTGGGCCGCGGTCTGCTCATCGGACGCTGCAGGGGTGGTGGTGGTGGTGGTGAGAGGCGGTAGGTGGGAGGAACAGCAATAACACCGGCACCAGCACCAGCACCAGCACAAAAGGGAGTAGGGGTAGGATAGAGGTAGGATGATGTGATTGATTGCCACCAACAGCAAAACAAGGAAAGCCAAAACATGAAGGGAGACAAAGGAAATGGCAAGCATACGCACGCACGAGCACGCGTCTCACCTGGCTCCGGACCACCGACTGTCGCTGAGGTCGGCTCGCCGTGTCGACCGAGGGAAACCTCGATCGATGCTGACGAGGTGGTGGCGGTGATGGTAGTGGAGTGAGCGAGTCGCATAACATGTGTTCACACATGAGGAAGGGAACAACAACAACAACAACAACAACAACAACAACAACAACAACAACAACAACAACTTAAACAACAACTTAAACAACAACTTAAACAACAACAACAACAACAACTTAAACAACAACAACAACAACAACAACTTAAACAACAACTTAAACAACAACGGGAGCATGATGTTCTCACCATTCTCAGCAGCGACGCGGACGCTGCTGATGCCGCTCTGCTGGACATTGAATCCAAGTTCCCGCAGGGTCTGCATCTCTTTGACAACCACCTCGGACAAGCTCGCACTCTGCACGAGAGGACGCAGGTTGATGATACACACCGATGAGTCGTCGTTGAATGTGAGAAAACAAGACACAGACACACAAACACAAACACAAACACACACACACACACATACGCACACAAAGGCAGGTTGACGGACCGGAGCGAGTGGCTGGACGAGTGCGGGCATCTGTACAAGCTGCTCATCGTCGCTGTCGCCATCAAATGCGCTGTACGCGACCTCTCGCTGCGCCCGCACAAATGCAGCGCGCGCCGCCTCCTGCCCGGGTGTGCCCGGCGTGAACTTCTGGTCCAGGACCTGGCATGTGCCGTGTTCGTGTGTGTGTGTGTGTGTGTGTGTGTGTGTGTGCGTGTGTGTGCGTGTGTGTGTGTGCGTGCGTGTGTGCGAGGTGGAATAGGGAGAGCTGCGTGAGATCATGGAACGCACACAAATAGCAACATCGTCAATACGAACAGCAAAACAAGCAGAACCATGCAGCTAATCGGTGGACACTAGACTCGACATACATCGCGCGGGCTGGCAGCGGCGTCGTATGGGGACATGGCAGCAAGGGCATTGGCAGAAACGGGGATCGTGTGCGCCCGCTTCGCTTGCGGTGGCTGGAACTGTTGTTGTTGTTGTTGTTGTTGTTGTTGTTGTTGTTGTTGTTGTTGTTGTTGTTGTTGTTGTTGTTGTTGTTGTTGTTGTTGTTGTTGTTGTTGTTGTTGTTGCTGCTGCTGCTGTTGTGGTGCATGTGAAGTCTGTGGCTGTGGCGCATGTGAAGTCTGTGGCTGTGGTGCATGTGAAGTCTGTGGCTGTGGTGGTGCCGGCGCTGCTTGTGGCGGCGCCGATGGTTGCGACGTGAACGGCTGGGCCGTGAACGGTTGCTGCTGCTGCTGTTGGCGAAACTGCTGTTGCTGTTGCTGCTGCTGCTGCTGCTGCTGCTGCTGCTGTTGTTGTTGTTGCTGCCTTTGTTGCTGCTGCAGTCTTTGTTGCTGTTGCTGTTGTTGCTGTTGCTGCCGTTGCTGTGCATGACCTGGTGCCATGCGCTCCAGCAAGCGTTCTCTCTTCAGCTGCTGCTGATGCGGGTCCAAGCGCTGCATCGCCTGTGCCGAACTCGTGGCCACCCCACCATACGGCATCTGCTGCTGCTTCAACTGCTGCTGCTGTTGTTGTTGTTGCTGTTGTTGCTTCAACTGCTGTTGCTTCAACTGCTGTTGCTGTTGTTGTCGTTGTCGTAACTGCTGGAATTGTTGCGGTGTCAGCTGCTGTCGCTGTTGCTGTTGTGGCACTTGTGGCGCACGTGGCTGCTGCTGCTGCTGCTGCTGCTGCTGCTGCTGCTGCTGCTGCTGCTGTGGCTGTTGCTGTTGCGCGTATCGCTGCTGTTGTGGTTGTGCGTGCTGTTGTGGGTGAGGCACTGCTTGCGATGCCATGGAGACGTTCGGTAATTGCTGCTGTTGCTGTTGTTGCTGTTGTTGCTGCTTTTTCTGCTGCTGCTTCGCAATCATCTCTTCTGAAGGTGCGGACACATTGGTTGTTTGTGGCGGTGATGATGATGATGCGTGTGTGAGACAAGATTGCTGTAAGATGGGCAGAGGCTGGTATTGTATGAGCGCTTGAAGGCGTACAAGACAGCGTGAAAACGTGATGGCAGCATGCGTGGGTCCCGGCGTACACACGCGATACACTTACTCTGCCTCTACAAGACGCGAAGCGAAAACGGGATTTGGTGACACGTGGCAGGAATTAAAATAGTCAGCAGGGGCGTGTGAGGGTGAGACAGGGACGGCGAAAGGAATGAACGCACACATGCACACACCCACACACACCCACATATATGCATCTGCATGATCGAACACCGAATGCTAGAGGGACCTTGATCAAGACATTAATTTGTTGCTCAAGGGTATTCAGCTGCTCCAAAGTCCTATGTACGGTAACAGATGTCAGGAAAAGGCGTGTTGGTGTTCGTGCTCGTGTTTGGAGGTGCGTATCAATCTCAACAGACACACACATACACAGATGCACGTACATGCACACAGACAAAAAAAAAGACGCCCTTACATGCAGGCAGACACAGAAACACACACACACACACACACACACACACACACACGTACAAAGCAGACCAAGCGATGCACGCAGGGCATAGGGAAAGCACAGGAAAAAGCAAGAAAGCAAGCAAGCGCGTACGGGATGTGGCCGGCTTGGATACGGGCGCTGGAGAGGAGTTGGCGATAACGAGCCAGTCGCTCGTGTACGATGGGAGGGAACGACTTCTTCACAAGCGCAACCGTCAGGTACTGCTTCAGTGGTTCGAGCTGCCTCAGCTGTGGGGCGCGTGCATGCACATGTTTGAATGCATGGGGTGGTTTGTCAGTCATTGGTTGCCAGCAGTAGTGAGCCAGCAGCGAGCCAGCAGTGTACTTACGCGCCTTCGTCCACAGACACACACACACACACACACACATGTACTCTACCTTTGCTTGGATGCTTGGGTCGATCACCGGCGCGCGGCGCTGTGGAGCGGCGGCGCCAAGGAACCCGGGCTGTTGGTGTTGTGGTGGCTGCTGCTGCTGGTGTTGCTGTGGCGGTGGCTGGCGTGCCTGTGGGAGTTGTTGAAAGTGTTGTTGTTGTGGCTGTTGTGGTGGGGCCTGCATTTGAGGCTGCGGTTGCTGCTGCGAAAAGCCGGGGGCAAACGCTCTTTGTGGCTGACGCTGAGGCGGCGGCTGTTGCTGCTGCTGGTGTGGCGGTGGTGGTGGTCCTGCTGGGGGCTGCTTCATACTGGCCGGTGGTGGCGCGGGCTTTTGCCGCTGTCGCTGATGTGCTGTTCCAAGGACAAAGGCGCAAAACCACGGTGTGAGCGAGTGTGTGCATGTGTGAGTGTGAGTGTGAGTGTGAATATGTGTGTGTGTGTGTGTGCGTGCGTGTGTGTGTATGTGTGTGAGCGTGTGTGAAGTACAAGGACGAGCCTGAACTGTAGGCGTGTTGGAGAGTGCCACTCACCATAACGACCAAACGTGAGCTTCAAATGCTTTTCAATCGCCTTCTTGTAGGCCTGTCGTGGATGCACAAGCGCGCGTGCATATGTGTGTGTGTGTGTGTGTGAGCAACGAAATGCAACACGGGAGAAGGACAAATGCGGCACATCGTGAGCTGCAAAGAAACACAAGTCAGTGCGCGCACAGTCGCTGACCTCGGGTTGCTGGTTGCTCTCCTGAGCAGCTTGCAGCTCTGCTTGCTGAACATCTTGGGTCATTTGTTCCTGCGACAGCATGTGGCCGAAATGCCTGTTCAACTGCTCGTAGCTGCGGTGAAAACAAGGCGCAAGGGAACGAGATGGCGAGGGTGCAGGCGCGTTGAAGATGAGGGAGCGAGTCAAGGAGGGGCTCAAGACAGAGAGAGAGAGAGTGTGTGTGTGTGTGCGTGTGTGTGACAGATACAGAGACAGACGTACACAGAGACACAAACACAATAACACAGATACACACACACACACACACACACACACACACACAACAGCACGTACATGAAGCGCATGGCCTTCTCGCGGGTTTCCTCGCTCAGCACCATCTTGGCGATCTCCTTCCTTCCCTCCTCCACTTGGTGCACGCGTTGACAATCTCGTCCAAGCCTTCACCGCTGAGCTGTACGTACAACACAACACCACAGTGCAGATCGTTCCAATGTGAAGATGGCTGACACACACACGCAACTGAGCGCCGCTCTTTCTTTCTTTCTTCGTGTGTGTGTGTGTGTGTGTGGGTGTGTGTGTGCGTTTTTCGTTAGCGTTTTTCGTCTTGTCTTCTTCTTCTTCTTCTAGTCAACGTGTGGCAGTTGCGACCAACGAACTGCTTTGAGGTGTGCTGGTGCTTGTTGTGACATGTGACTGAGCATACGTACGTGCGCGTGCGCGTGTGCGCGCGTATGTGTTGGTCACGCTGCCTTCTCTTGATGTTGCGTTGTGCGCATGTTGTTTGTGCCAATGAAGAGGTTCCTTCGTTTGGGCACTGTCCCTTGTTGCTCCCTTGTTGCGTGCTCTTTCCCCTTGGACGCTCACGCCATCTCTCTGTTCCACTGCCACCCACACCAACTGCTGGCTTGCTTGCTTGCTCACTTCTTGAAGGTGCGGATCGTTCGCCGCAGCCCCCACACGCAGCACGACCAACAGTTGCAACAACCATTCCCGTTTGTTGCCGCACTCATTTGATCGCAAACGGCCGTGCCTGCCAGTGGAGTGACAGCGGTCGTGCGATTGCCACCTCCCTGGCGCGTGGGTCACCTCGCACCAGTCCCCCACGATGTTCTCGCGGCCGCCACTGAAGTTTGGCGGCACTGGCAGCAGCAGCAACAGCAGCAGGACCGGTAGCAGCCAGTCCGGCGCCCCGAGCCAGCAGGCGACCACCAGCAGCATCTTCACCGCCCCTGCGTCTGGCAAGCCTGCCGGCCAATGGGCCCCACCCCGCCCTTCCTTTGGCTCTGGTCCAAGCGGCACCACCGGTGGCAGCAACAATGGGGCGACTTCGTTCAAGGCGCCCTCCTTTGGTGCAACAGCGCCCGGGACAGCGAGTGTGGCGCAGGGCCAGCCGCTCTTCAAGACGACTTTACAGATGGGGAAAGGCCCCGCACCTGGTGGCGGCCGCAAGGGCACCACGCCCACGTTTGGCGGAATCAAGCCCACAGGCAAGCTCATGCGCAAGGCACAGTTTGGCTCATCCGTGGCGCCAGCACCAAAGCCAGGCCAGCCGCTGTTTGGAAGCACGGCCTCAAAGCCCGCACCTTCCTTCGGTGCCACCACTTCAGGTGCCTTGTGTGTGTATGCATGTGTGTGTGTGCGTGTGCGTGGTTGTGCTGTCGTGTGTGTGTGTGTGTGTGCGTATACATGTGTGTGTGTGTGTGTGCAGTTGCCTGCTTGCCTGCCTGTCTGCTTGGTGATCATGCCTCCGCATGCCTCCATATGTCCCCATGCCAACCCCGCGCAAGTGTGTGCATGCGTGTTTGAAATGCTCATCACCAGTCAATCGTGTTCTCACTTGCAACAGGCCAGCCACAGGCACAGGCAGCCAAGCAGCCGCTGTTTGGCAAACCCAAGCAGCAACAGCAGCAACAGCAGCAACAGCAGCGGCAGCAACAGCAGCAACGCTCCCGGCCACCCCGCAGCAAGCAGCCGCCGGCCAGTCAAAATGTGGATGTCGAAAAGGTTGCTGAAGACGATGAAGACATGTACGTTACACAGCAGCAACAGCAAGCACAGCAATACAAGAAGCAAGGGCGACAAGGCAAACGAGGAGCGGCACCACGACAGCAACAACAACAACAACAACAACAACAACAGCAGCAGCAGCAGCAGCAGCAGCCAAGGGCACGCAGTCGTGGTGCCTCTGGCATCTTTGCTCGACTCGCACCAAAGGACCCATCGCCTCCGCGCAGCACACGCGCACGTGCAGGGGGAGCAAAGGGAGGAGGGATGCTGGCCAGGCTCGGCAGCAGAGAGGAGCAAGGTGGTCATGACGACGGTGACGAAGAGCAGTACGAACAAGAAGAACAAGAAGGCGATGTGCACGTGGAGGAGGGTGGAGAGGGTGGTGATGATGGCGCGTATTGGGAGGAGGATTATGGCGCCGGGTATGCTGATGGTGGTGGCGAGTATTATGGCGAGGATGATGGCTATGACGATGCAGATGAAGCCTACGAAGGTGAGTTCGAGGGAGGCGATGGAACCCACTACGAAGATGAAGAAGTCGAGGTGGAGGACGATGACGAAGAGACCACGCTACCAGCGCCTGTCACGTCCAAGCCGCGGTTTGGCACGGGCACAGCACCGAGCACAGGCAGTGGCGCTGGTGGCGGCGGTGTGTTTGGACGGCTTGGTGGCAAAGCAACTTCAGCATCACCCACATCGAATGCAACGCCCCATGCGCTGCCACCATTGTCGTCATCCTCATCAACAGCAGCAACAGCAGCAGCAGCAGCAGCAAAGTCGGCGAAGATTGGTGGCGATGTTAGATCAGGCGTGGCCGCCAAGGCAAAGGGCCTCTTTGGCAAACCACCCACCACCACCTCGACCCCCACCAGCAGCACGGCTGCCACGACAGCGGGCCCAAGGTTTGGTAAAGGGAAGGCATCAACCTTGTTTGGCAAATCCACGAAACCCGCCGCTTCAACTGCTCTCGCCAACGCACCAGCATCCAAACTCACAACAACAAAACCAGGAGGAACAACAATGGCAACGACAACAACAGCGGCAGCAGTGGAGAGCAGTGGCGCTTCAAAGCCAAAGACATCTGCTCTGTCCTCTTCCCTCTCGTCGCGCCTGAAGTCGAAACTGCATCAGGAGCGCCAGGTGGCCGCCAGCAAGACCGGTGATGCCGCTGTGCCAACGCCATCCGCACAGCACACGCTGCACACATCCAAACCAGCCATCACCACCACCACCACTAGGAGCAGCAGCAGGCCTACAACGGCCACACTGCCAGCAACAACGCCAACAACACCACGGCCACCAACGGTAGCAGCAGCACCATCATCACGAGTGCCAGGGCCAGCCAGCACGTCGACAGCACCACTGGTTGCGGGTCTGTCGCCGCTGCCACCGTCGCTCACGCCCCAGCCGTACGCGGCCGATGCGGTGCCCGGGTTTGAAGGTGTGCGCCTGCAGCCGAAGCGGCGTGCCGACGACAGCGGAGACACCGGGGAGGAGACGGCGGAAGAGGTGGCGGCAAACCCGCTGGTGGCAGAGCACGAGTCCGCGTCTGCAGCGGACAAGGACCTGCTCAACAGGCTGGAGGCCGTGGTGGAGAAGGAGGCGAAGCAGCTGGTGCTGGACCGAAAGGCGCAGCAGACAAACGGCGACGCCAGGGTGGGCGCGATTGTGGGCACGTGCACGACCATGTGCCCCGAGATTGAACGGTACCGGCGCCTGTGTAGTGGGGCGGTGGGGCAGGGCGGCGTGTGGGCGTTTGAGCGCACGTGCAAGCGTTTTGACCACCGCAAGGCCATCAAGGAGTACCGGAAGGAGGCTGCCGACAACCTTCCCGAAGTGCCACGGCAGCTGCGCCCACCCAACGTCTTGCATCAGACCATGTGGTTCATGGTGCATCACCTGATGAACAACGCCGTCATCAACGACAACCAGTCTGCCAACTACCGCTCACAGTGGTTCGATTTCATGGAGGACCGCCTGCGCAGCATTCGCAAGGACATGAAGACACAGCGCGTGTTCAACGCAACGACGCTGGAGGTGATGGTCATGTCGATTCGCTTCCATTTCATCGCAGGCTACCTCCTGTCGGACGAGTGGGTTGACCACACCACCAACAACCAGCGCCTGAGCGACTGCTACGACACGCTGGCCATGCACTACCGCGAGATGCGCAAGACGCCTGATGAGATCCTCCCCTATGAGGGCGAGATGCGCGCTTATCAACTCCTACACGCCATTGGCAATGCTGGCACCATCCTCAGAAAGGTGTGCACGGTTGCGTGGTCGCGCGAGTGATGATGATGGTGATGGTGATGATGGTGGTGGTGGTGAGTTGCGTGGGCGGTGGTGTCATGTTGTAGTGACCTAATTGCGTGTTTGACTCGTGTGTGTGTGTGCTGTTTTGACTGGGTTGCCTCTTCTTCAAGCAATCATCGCACACACCCTTACCTCACACACGCACACGCACACACACATGCCGACCTTTCCCCGTAACATCCATGCATACCCGCGTCCACATCCCCCAACTCAACACACACACACACACACACACACACACACACACACACACACACACACACACACATTTGCATGTTCTCACGGCACGCGTGCCACGTTCCACCACCACCCCTTCCACCAACACAAACCACAAACCAATCTGCAAAGATACCGCACCTGATGCGTGATGCGCACGTGAGGCGCGCGATGAAGGTTGTGGCCTGCGTGGCGCAGCTTGGGCTCGGAAAGCGGCAATCGCAGGGCTCTGGGCTGCTCAACTACCCGCGCTTCTTCAAGCTTGCCCGTTCCATGCCCTATATTGAGGCGTGCATCCTCTCCTGCGCCTTTGACCGGGTGCGCCAGGACGCGTTGTTCCAGCTGTGCACGGCGTCGCGTCGGCGCTCTGTTCCGCTCGCCCACCTCCGCGGCATCCTCGGGTTTGACGGCACGGACGACGCGCGGGAGTTTGTTGAGGGTCACGGGCTGACCATCTACAAGGAACACGTGGTGTTCAAGGACAACGCGATTGTGATACCAGAGGTGCTTGAACGCATCAAGCAGCGCTACCGCTGGATTGACGCGCTGAAGACCGACCCGCTCACGAGCGAGCCGCTCTCCGTTGGCGAGCTCGTGGCCGGGCAGCGGCTGGGGCGCAACGCAGCACGCGCCGCCGCGTCGCCAGCAGCAGCGATGCAAGCAGCAGCAAGGACAGCAGCTCAGGCACAGGTGGTGATGGCCGCTCCTCGATCGGTGGACGCGTGGTCCAGGACACCACCAGTCACAACTACAGCGGCGGCGGCGAGTAAGTTGTCGACGCAAGCAGCAGCAAGCAAAGTGTTTGGCAAGGGCAAGGATGAGGCAACTGCAAAACGTTTCGCGTTGAAATCCCCTTCATCAGCAGCAGCGGAGGAGAAGGCGGAGCCGCACGCAGAGAAACCATCGCTTATTTCGGAGAAGGAGGAGGAGGAGGGAGCAAAGGCAGCGGAAGCAGCAGCAGCAGCATTGAAGCCATCAGCACAGGCGGCGACGGCGTTTGGCAAGCCGTTTGGAGGGTTTGGTGTGCAGAAGCAGCAAGAGGAGGCTGAAGCTGATAAGGCAGCAGCGACCACAGCCGCAACCACAGCCGCGTCGACGGCCGCGAAGCTATTTGGACCAAAGAAGACAGCACCAGGCGATACCAAGATGATAACAGCAGCAGAGAAGGAGAAGAAATCATCGCCGGTAGCGGTCGCCACTGCAAAGGAGGAAGCCGCAAAGCTGAAGGAGCAGGAAGCGAAGGAAAAGGAGAGAAAGAGGAAGGAGAGAAAGAAGAAGAAGGCAGCAGAGGAGGCGCGCAAGCGAAAGCTGAAAGAAGAAGCAGAGGTGTGTTTTATTGTGATGACGTGCGTTAACGTGCGTGCGTTGAGAGCGCACACGCGTGTGCATACGTGTGTGTGTGTGTATTGATGCAATGCGTTCAACTGCGATCAGTCGGTCGGACTACTTCATGTGCTTAATGAGATACAACTCACCATCATCTGCCCGCTCTCCCCCTCGTCCTTCACATCACCACCATGGCTGCCATTGCCTCTACAGGCGCGAGAGCGGCGAAACCGCGTCGCCACCACTCTCATCTTCGACGAGGTCGTTTGCGACGCAATCAGGTTCATGGCGACGAGTGCTCTGTGCTTTGCGTGCGTGTGTTGTGTTTGTTGTGTTGTGTGTATTTGTGTTTCTCTGTCTGTCTGTCTCTCTCTCTCTCTCTCTCTCTCTCTCTCTCTCTCTCTCTCTCTCTCTCTCTCTCTCTCTCTCTCTCTCTCTCTCTCTCTCTCTCTCTCTCTCTCTCTCTCTCTCTCTCTCTCTCTCTCTCTCTCTGTGTTTGTGTGTGTGTGTGTGTGTGTGTGCGTTTGCGTGCGTGCTTGTGCTGTGCCGGCGCGTTTTGTCAACTCTGTTCACCCCTCCTCCACCCGTCACCTCACCCATCCTGCGTGTGCAATGTGACCATGCAGGGTTGAGTGCGAGCGCTTTGTGCAGTTTGAACAGCTTGTGCAGCACTTTCAGCGAAGAAGGTGTGTCACTTTCGTGTTTATGCGTATGTGCACGTGTTCTCTCTCTCTCTCTCTCTCTCTCTCTCTCTCTCTCTGTCTCTCTCTCTGTCTGTCTCTCTCTCTCTCTCTCTGTCTCTGTCTCTCTCTCTGTCTCTCTCTCTCTCTCTCTCTCTCTCTCTCTCTCTCTCTCTCTCTCTCTCTCTCTCTCTCTCTCTCTCTCTCTCTCTCTCTCTCTCTCTCTCTCTCTCTCTCTCTCTCTCTCTCTGTGGCGGCGGTGTTAAGCGCGATTGAGCCTCTCTTTTGCACGCAACAATATTGCATCAAGCGTATGATGACGGGTTGTCACCTTGTGTTCCCTTCCCTCCCCCCAGCACGCACATACATCTACACCTATTCTCCCAAGCGCTTACGTTGCCTGGCTGCGTTCTCTTTGCTCACTTTGTTTTTCCATCGCTGCGTGTGTGTGTGCTTCCAGGTTGGCGGTGGCGTGGGAGCGGTGGCTCAAGCGGTTCACAGACCCGTACATCACAGGAAAGCCAATCCCCATGGACACAACGGATATCGGTGCGTGGGCAGTATGTGGCATGCCGGTGCTTTTTCGATTGGTGGTCGAGTGTTTTGCAGGAGGGTGCTGCGCTTGCAATGCCCAACAGCTCACACGCACGCACACACACACACACACGCACGCACGCACACACTCACACTCACACAACAAAACACACACTCACACACCCTGAACACATAACACACTCACACAACACACACACACACTAAACACAACACACAACACAACACACAACACGTGCGCAGTTGAGGTTGACCCGAGCGACGTTGATCCGGATGCGTATCTGGTGCAGCAGCGCGTGCGTGTCCACGCCGTGCACCGCTGCCTCAACGCCGCTCGCGTCGGTATCCCCGCCATCACTGCCGCCCTTCGTCGTCGCTTCGTCAAACCTCGCGCTGCTGCCGTCGGCATCACGCTCGTGGACCTGTTTGAGTGTCCGTGGGACTTGGCGTCCACCTTTGCGGCTGATGGTGGCTCATCCGCGGTGCACCGCCTCACATTTGATGGCGACGGGGGTGATCGTGGAGGCAAGGACCAGACCACCACCAGCAGAAGCAGTATGCTGGAGGGTGACGAAAGCACGCACACGGATTGCACCGTGTCACTTGCAGTGAACGTTGTGAACCATCTTCACACGGAGGACAACGGGCTTGTGCCCGAGGATGATGCGAGGGTGCTTGCGTCATCATCGGTGCTTGTCGTTTCGCTGGTGGATCGCCCTGACGCTGCCTGGGCGAACGACAGCAACGACAGGGCGGCGTGGCTGCGCGTTGCATATCGCCTGCAACCGCTGCTGGACGTGGTGCCTGCAAGCACCCCGATTGTTGTGCTGTATGACGCGTATGATGTGGCGCCCGGCGATGTCACTGCGAAGCTGTTTGCCCACACCCCATTCACGCATGTGGAAGGTGTGGGCCTGAACGCGGCTGATCTCGTCTTTGCCTGCAAGCAAGCGGGCCGCGACCCAACCAGCGCTGGCCAGGTGCGAATTGCATGTGTGTGTGTGGTTGTGTATGTGCGTGTGTGTGTGTGCGTGTGTGTGGTTGTGCGTGTATATGTGTGGTTGTGTATGTGCATGTGTGTGTTGTGGTTGTGTGAGTGCGTGTTTGTGTTTGTGATTGTGTTCGTATCTGCGATTGTAGATGTGGTGGAGTGCGTTTTGCATTTTGTGCTTGTCGTGTCGTTTTCACTCACGCAACCGTCCGCGTGTGTCACTCGCGCCACAGCTTGGGGTGGACCGCATCACGTCGGCCCTCACCCGCTCCCTCGTCGCAGCCCGTTTCCCTGCAGTGGTGCAGGTGTGTGTGTGTGTGTGTGTGTATGTGTGTGTGTGTGTATGTGTGTGTGTGTGTGAGGAGGCCATTTGCTCGCATACATTGGCATGCTCTGATGTAAATGATTCCGTTGAAGTGAATAATCAACCATATGGACGCCTGCGCACCCATTGCCTTGTTGTTGTTTTTTGGGCTCATTTGTTCAGGTGCACATGGATGATCTCTTGGAAACATGTTTTGCCACGCAACTCTATCGGCTATGGCAGAAGGTACACTCACATTTACGTGGATGTTTGTTTGTTTGTTTGTTTTTGGTCTGTCTGTTTGTTTATTTATTTGTTTGTTTGTTTGTTTGTTTGTTTGTTTGTTTTTTGTCTGTTGCCCTGCGTTATCAACTGCGCGCACGTTTGTGCTCAATTCGCCCTTGAGACCGTTGCCGAATACGCATGCCGTTACTTTTCATTCACCGCCCTCCCCCCCCCCCCCCCAAAAAAAAAAAACCAAAACTGATCGCACCAGGATGGCCCCACCGGCCGCGGCGTCATGGACGTCCACCGCGAAGCGTGCTCAACTGCGCTCGAGGTTGGCAGTGGTGTGCGTGCGTTTGTGTGTATGTGTGTATGTGGTTGTGTGTGTGTGTGTGTGTGTGTTTGTGTGTTTGTTTGTGTGTGTTGTGTGCAATGGTCTGGCATTGATGTTTTTGTGGAACAAAAGTCGCTCTGCGCCACGCTACGCCACAATTGCAACTCCCTCACCCCCAACCCTTCCACGGGATGCACGCTGGTATGTCAGGCGATGCGCACGCGCTCCTTCGCTGAGGGCGCGCCGCAACGACTGATGCAAGTTGTTGACCAAATCAATGGTCCCATGCATTCGTGGTTGCGCACATTTGAATTGCCCGGCGTGCTGCAGTCGTCGCATCAGGGCGTGTTCGTGGGTCCAGAAGACTCGCCTGCGCTCCAGGCGGAACTGGAGCTGCTGATGCGAGCATGGACGACGTTTGCGCAAACAGATGTGCCTGCAGGCATTGGGGAGCAGCTGACCCGCTGGCTGCAGGTGGCGTGCGCACGTGCGCAGCAGACGCTGAGGAAGGGCAAGCGTGCCATTGCACCGTGGCGTGAGTTTGCCTCGTGCGTGGTGCTTGCGCTGAGCATGGCGGCGAGCGATCAGGTGTTGTACGTGGAGCAGAGTGAATGCGAGGAGTTGGAGGCACAGGCGGGGCGGTCTGCGGTGCAGCCGTTGAACGCGTCGCTCGAGCGATCCGACCAGGGCGCGTTGGAGGTGTCGACAGCCGGTGTGACGGCAACCCAGGCCATTGCGGCGACGATCAGGGCCGTGAAATCCACACGCGCACCTGCGATGGCGACAACACCCGTCTCCCCAAGAGCAGGCGCCAGCAGAGCAGCACTCCCAATCGCAGCATTAACCACTGCAGCGGCATCAGCGATGGCAACGACAGCCCAGCCCGAAGCAGGTGGTGCCGGGTACTGGACGGCAAAGGTTTCTCCGAAACGCAAGGCGCTCAAGACATTTGGTGACACCTCTGTTGTGTTTGAGCAGCGGCAGCGGCAGTTGGGCTCCGTGCCGCGCCTGACAGCTGTGCTTCCTGTGAAGCGAGCCAAGGTTGCTGGCGGTGGTCGTGGCGATGACGATGTGTACTCCCCGAGCTACCGCTCACGACAACAGCAGCAGCAGCAACACCAGCAACACCAGCGCTTGAATGAGTCGTTGCGCCAGCTCTCGTCCATGATTGCGGAAGAGGCGCTGGCTTACGAGCATGTGGACGAGCTTGATCGTACAGCGGTGACGGCAGGCGGTATGGATGTGAGTGTGGCTTCGGGCGCCTTTTCCCCGTTTGCCGCCGCTGTGTCACCTGTTCGACCTGCCAGTGCAAGTCGGGTGGACACTGGCGTGACAGGGCAGGGTGCGAGGCGCGAGCCACAACCGCAACAGCAGCAGGAACAGCGGCAGGAGCAACCACGCAACCGAACAGCAGCCCTCTTGCAGGTATGATGTGTGTGTATTGTGTGTGTGTGTGTATTGTGTGTGTATTGTATGTGTGTGTGTGTGTGTGCGTGCGTGTGTGTGTGTGTGTGTGTGTGTGTGTGTGTGTGTGTGTGTGTGTGTGTGTGTGTGTGTGTGTGTACTGAAGCTTGTTGAGGCCTTCCTGGCCCAGTGTGTCTTCATTGCGTGGAGTTGTCTTCCTTATCCTGTTTTTCTTTCTTTTCACTCAACGGCAACTTCAATCGCCCTGCTTTCGTTTTCGCCGCGTTGTCCACATCAGGAGCTGTCGCTTGCGCTGCGATGGGAGAAGGAGGCGTCTGCACGCTTGGACCAGAGCATTGAGGGCGTGCTGTTGTAATCGTGCATGGAATCCCCAGTAAACATTTTTCATTTTCCGCTTGTTTGAGCAGCAGTGCGCAGGACTGCAACAGCAAAGCAAGCACACCAACACGGCAACACCGTGCAGCAAGCACACCTCTCACCACCCAACACGCACCTGCGATGGAGTTTGAGGAGGACTTTCCTGAGTTTGAGGACGATGAGGGGAGGTTTGCGTTGATGGGGTCTGAGCTGATGGGTGGCGCGCCGCTTCCTGTCAACATGACCCCACAAGAAAAGCAATCGTACATGGACGGCATCGGCATCAAGGCCAAGGTGCATCAGTGTTTGTGTTCATGCTCTTGTGTGCTCTAGTGTGCATCAGTGTTTGTGTTCATGCTCTTGTGTGCTCGAGTGTGCATGTGTGTGCCTGTGTGTGCATGTGTGTGCCTGTGTGTGTTGAAGATGCGTTGTGGTTACATGACAACGAGTGCCTTAACGTGCGTGTGCGCTTGTCCTGACACGGCTGCAATCGTTGAGCGAATCGCAGCGGCACTCACACACCGCGCATTCACACAACACACCACACGCATGCACACGCAACGCACATTCACACAACACACACACACACACAATGCAACAACACTATCACCGCAGTACATTGGTGTGACGGAGGTTTCCAGTGCCCGCGGCGGCGATGACGTGCTGCTGGCAATTGCGCGCGTCCGTGCAGCGCACAAGGCGTTCCGCGAAGCAAAGCAGCGCACGTGGCTCGTCATCTCCGTGTCTGGTCTGAAGATCCGCGACTTTGACACGCGCCAGCTCAGGGACAGCTACGCCCTCTACCAGATCAGCTACGCGACATGGCTGCCCTCCAACCCACAAGTACGCGTGTGCGTGCGTGAGTGTGCGTGTGCGTGTACATGTCTGCATGTATGTGTGTGTGTGTGTGTGAATGCATTTCTGTAAGCCCTCCTCAAAGCTCATTCGTGCTCTTCGCTCATGCAACCAAACACACGTGCCCGCGCTTCCCCTCCCCCTTTTCACGCACACTGTCTCTCTTGGTGACAGGTGTTTGCTTTCATTACGGCCAACACAACCACGTCTCCACCCATCTACAAGTGTCACGTGTACAAATCACACTCCAAATCCAAGATGATCATTGAGACCTTCGGTCGCTGCTTCACACTTGCCGTTGAGATGCAGCGGTAGGCGTTTGCGTGCGTGCGTGCGTGCGTGTGTGTGTGTGTGTGTGTGTGTGTGTGTGTGTGTGTGTGTGTGTGTGTGTGTGTGTGTGTGTGTGTGTGTGTGTGTGTTTGTGTGTTAGCTTTTGCTGTGTTTGCCGAGCCTTGTTGAGTTCCATGGCATCACCTCTTCATTCCAGGGTTTGTTGCCGCTCACACACTCAGTGCCCGTCACAATTCTGTTTGCGGTCATAGAACCGGGCTGACGCGGGCAGTGCGCATGAAGGACGCCTCATTCCACGAAGTCGTCCGCGACATCCGACGACAGTGCGTTTCCTGTGCAGCTGCACACACGCGCGCACATGTATACATGCCCACACCTGCCTGCTTGCATGCACGCTGACCAATTGCTGACGCTTGTGCGACATTTACGACACTACACCCACTACACCCACTACACCTCTGCTACAGGCTTCAGTCCACTCGCGTTCCACTGGACATTGCTGCGTTCTGCAACGAAGGCTTGAAGCGGGTGTGTGTATGCTTGTGCGGGTGCTTGCGTGTGCGTGTGCGTGTGTGCGTGTGCGTGCGTGTTGGGTGCTAGATACTGATGCATGCCTGCTGCTGCGTGGTTACTGGTTTGCTGTCGTCGCAGTTGACACACTTGTATGACCAGGAATGCAACAGCGACCCGCACAACGACGTGAGTGTGAGTGTGTGTGTGTGTGTGTGTGAGTGTGTGTGTGTGTGTGTGTGTGTGTGTGTGTGTGTGTGTGTGTGTGTGTGTGTGTGTGTGTGTGTGTGG